CCTCAGGGCTCCAACAGGCTCAGTTTTGGTTCCTCCATCTTGTCCAGCGCATCCCATATCCAGTTTGCATTTTTAACCATCACATACCAAGCACTAAGTTGATATACTGCTCCCCAAAACTATTCCCAAGTGCTAACATTCAGCCCAGCACTTCAGGAGACCTTTTCACACACACCACATTCCTCTCCTCCACATTCAATTTCCCGTGTTTTATCACAGCCCTTCAGGACCATCAACCCTTCTGCAACTGCTTGCAGCCAGTCTGCATCATCATCATCATCAGTAACTCCTTTTATCAGCCCATTTTGCCATCTGCCTTTCCCTCCCCCTTTTTAGGGCAGCTGCAACAATAAAACTGCAAAAAATCCCTGTTGGTATCTTACGGTAACCTCAGGTGGATTTCTTTTAAGTCTGTGGTGAGGGACCTTTCCGAACGCCTCTGCGAAGCTGAGCAGGCAGCAGGTTCTCTCCTCTGCACGTGCTCACTGACTCTTTGGGACAAGTCCAGCAGCGTGAGACATAATTTTCTCATACACAATCCATAGGGACTCTTTTCTATAATATTATCTTCTCTTTCCTCTAATATTATGTTCATTTGTGTTTCCACAAATTCAATCATTTTTTACACTTTCTACCGGTCTGACCAGTCTGGATGTCAGAATACAGATGGCTGTAGCTCCTCACATTCCCACTTGGAACCTTCCTAAATTTTTCTGATAATGAGATGATTTGAAACAAAGAAATGGGCATTCCACAGTTGGTAGTCCTTCCAGTACGAGTTTCCTCTTGACACTTGAGTGAATGCCACCCAAGTTTGAAGGTTTGCTATTACTCAGTCTGTTTGCTGGAGAATATCTTCTCACCCATCAGTTTGAGATGGATCCTCTTGGGATGTTGCCCCAGGAAGCTGTCAGGTACCGAACCCTCTCTGAGCTTCTAAGCAGGGATGTCTTAGGCAGGCAGCTCACCGCATTTTTTCTCTCTAGTCTGATCCTGTCTCAGTATTCTTGCTCCATGCCTTGATTCTCCATGAGTCCTGCAGTCTTTCCAAGGTTTCAGAGGTTGCTATTGCCATTCAAGTTGTTTCTCAAGGTACTTATTGCGTGTTCACATTAATTTGCCCAAATTACATGTCCTTACCACCTTCCTTGTTTAGACATGACTTCAGCTTTTTGAACAATGCCTTGCTGCTTCTTAGGGACGCCCTTTACCTGCAGGCACTGTCTGTTGTACATGTGCAAATGAGAAAAGCAATGTCTTCAAAAAAAAAAAAAAAAAAGCAATATCTTTCGAAGTGTAGCCATCCAAGTAAAAGCTCCCTTGGGCATACATGTCTAAATGAAAAAACGTGGTGGATGCACATCTCTGATGTTTCCCCAGGTGTGTGCAGGAGGAAAAGGAACAAGTGTGCCAAACTGCTCTTAAAACATCAAGATCCAAACCAGCACCGGATGTCCATGTCTACTGGAGTCAGCAGATGCACATCAGCTGTAATTTCGGATTAGGATGGCCAGATGCCAGCCTGGGGGCTGCTCTTTGCCAATCTCATCTCATCCACCACAGAGCAGCCTGGGAGCACCAGTAAATCTTCCTTTTTTAGTAGCTCACCTGGAGCTGGACACTTCATCTCCACGCTTGCTTGGTAACATTATGTGATGCACGCACCGTGTGATGCACACCTCCCCTGTGCACACGGGGAAAATACATTCAGATTCTGCTGTGGCACCCAGTGCTCAATCTGCTCTGCTGTGATTTTCAGCAGACAAGTTATAGTCTTGCTGCAGGTTTTCTTGTCCTGGTTCAGCTGGGACAGATTTCCCTCTCTTCCCAGCAGCTGGGGAGAGGCTGTTTGGGTTTGTGCTGAGGAGAAGCTGATCCCACACTGATGGGCAGAGCTGCTGCCAGGACAGTCAAGGACTTTCCAGCTTCTCTGTGTGCCCGTGTCTGCAGGGGCAGGAGGAGCTGGGAGGGAGCACAGCCCCAGTGACCAGCCCAGGATTCCACCTCAGGGTTAGGGCTGAGACCAAACTGGCCGATGGTCTGTTCCATCCCATGCCCGGCACGGCCAGGGGAGAGGGGAGGCTCTGCCTGGGAGTTCTCTCTCTTGCTCCAGGTTGTCTCCCTCTGGGTCACCCCTCTCTCAGGGTCGTCTCGGTCTCTCAGACACTCGGGCTCTTATCTCCATCCCAGGATTGCAGTTTCGGGACTCTCCCTGCTCCAGGATCACTGGCTGGGAACAGAGTGAGCCTTGGCCATGGGGTGGTGAGCAGTGTCACTGTGTGTCACTCATTTGTATATATCACTATTATTATTGTAATTATTTTCAATATTATTGTAGTTTAGTTATTAAATTGTTCTTATCTCACCCCACGAGTCTCTTTTCCCTTCACCCCTTTAATTCTCTCCCCATCCCTGGGAGGGGGGGAGGGAGAGTGAATGGCTGTGCAGTGTTCGGCTCCCAGCCAGGTCAAAACTACACATTTCTACAACAGCTTCTCTGTGCTGGGGCTGTGATGCCCCAAGTATGGAGGGGGCGGAGGGAGCTGAGACACTAAATTCATAAATACTATCACAGCACTCACAAGCTTCCCAACATTGGAGCAGCTGTAAAGAGAGAAGGTGGAGCAATGTTGGGAGGAAGCTGATTACACCCAGAGCTTCTTTAAGCCTCAGCAAGCTGATGGCAGGAAAACAAATTCGGCAGGTGATCTGCACCAGTGACTCATCCCTGTCATGCTCAGTACTCAGTAGTTCTTAAGTCCAACAGCTCTCCTGAATCCTTGGTGCATCCTTGCACAAGAAACAGATTTGCCTCCTAATGAGCTTATCTCAGTCTTCAGGGGAACTGCAAAGCCCTGAGGACAAAATTCAGCAGCATCAACGCAGGTTTGCACTGGCTTCGCAGCGCGTGGTGCAGTTGCTGGGAAGCACTCTGCTCCTCAGGTGAGAGGTGGTGTGATTTTGCAACAGGGATCTTGCCTAGTCTTCTAAAACCCCATGAAAAAGAAGAATAGACATTAATTACCCTCCTCCTGTCCTTGCAAGTCCAAAGCATTCCCCCAGTCTTGGACTCGCCACAGCCCTGGCAGTACCAAGTAACCTGGGCTGCCCCTAGGTCTGGTGTAGGGGTGCCCCAAAGCGTCCCTTGTTCCAGTGCCAAACACAGCTTTACCTCATAGGAGACAAATCAGGCAGCTGCAGCTCTTTACTGGCACGGCCCAGTATGGCTGCATGTCCTGCGTATGCAACACCCTCTCCATGCACGCTGCACGTGTGTCGACTCTGGCAACGGCACCCATATGTTCCTCTCTCCTCACACACCCACCCATAAAGCACAACTGCCTGCTAGTTAAAGCAGAAAAGAGCCCAGACAATGAAACCTTTCAAAAGTCATTTATTAAGAACCTTTACATTCAGTAGTACAAAATGATATATTACCATCCCTCCTGAACACATCACCTGCAGAGGAGAGGCAAGATCGTAGACTCAGATTTAAGAAACACGACAGAATGTGTACTTCAAACAATCAGCTCAAAGTTTCAGAGACAAACTATCTTCAGCAAATACAAATTTAAATGAGGATGCAGGAACAGATGCTCTCATCCCAGAGCATGTTACTGCCCTGGAATCACTTTTCCCCCTCTGAAATTATCCAATGGATTTTGACTGAAACCTAAGATGAGCACATACAAGCTCAGATCAAAGCTTTCTCAGCCACATCTCAGGGAAGCCAAGTGGATTGCTGAAAACCCTCTTGTCCTTCTCTCCTGTCACTTGCCTTTTAATTTTAAACATGTGCACCATCTCCCCAAATCTGGCATTTCCTCGGTCCATGTTCCTCCCCAGCTAACACTGGCCCTTACTAGGCACATATAGGGAAGTGTTTGCATGGACTTGGCAGCCTAAGTCCCTGCTCTCATTACAGTGAATCTGTTAATACTTTGGTTTAATAGATTAATTGATCTATAAAACAGAAATCCATGTCATACTAACTTAACTCTTTTAAGGGATTACAGAATCCAAAGTCTAAGACTACACAGGATATAAGATATAGGACAGCTGACCAAACTGAATCAGAACTGCATCATGACTTCATGGACTACTGCTTTAAACCTGCTCTTCTTGATGCCTCTAGGCAAAGGCCCTAGAGTTAGAAAGCTACATTAAATTCAGCAGACCTTCTCTGGATCCTTTTTCCTCTGAGGATACAGGAAATGGATTCCCTCCTTGCCACAAGCTGACTCTGTAAACATTTCCCACGGTGCCACACTAGGTGAAAACACGAGCACTTCGGCAGTGTTGTTTTCTAGATGATCTAGTTTCTTGTCACCTCCCTTCTTCTGACAGTGTTTCTTTCCAAGACAGATTGAAAAGATTACCTGAGAGTTGAGACACAGCTGCCTGGCTTTTCCAGCTCTTCCAACTGTCTCCAGTCTGGGCTTTGGAGTTCCCACCTTTGTGGCAATAATGCTGACAAACAGGAGGGACTGAGATCCATACCATTACAAAACTGGTCATATGGCACACAGCAACATTTCCTTTGAGAAGAAAATGTTTTCTCCTATGTCTTTACAAAGTTTTCATTCCGCTACGCTCAGTTTTAATTTTCTGAGTGTGTACAGGGCACCAGTCTTCTCAAAGCGGTGTCCCCATATGAAGATATAGATTCTCACGCTTGTTAGCCATAATCATTAGTGGCAATGGGGCAGGGCCTCCAGAGGCAGACCAGGGCTAAACAGGTTCCTACCAAACAGCATTAGGTGGTTAAGACTTGACATTGCCAGAGTTTATCCACCTCCACCTTTTTTTTTTTTCTTTTAAGTATTTTTCAAGATTAACACATTTAACAACAACTTATGGTACAGTCTAATACAAGTCAGACCACTTTGATCCCTTTCTGTCTGCTTCAAGGCTACAACCTATAGCAAGCTTTTACTGAAGAAAGACCGAAAACTTCCTTCAAATATCACCGACTATGAACACTTCCGTTTATGGGAAGCAGGAATTCAGCTATGATACTGCAATTGCACTCTGTTTTATCTACACAATGAGGAAAACTGCTTCTAAAGGTGGTGGACTGGAATCTTTAAAGACCAGATGAGAAGCAGCTGGACAGCAGCTATCTTTCCTTGACATGGCCGTTGGTGAGATGGGTTCTGTTTTTCAGTGGCTCAGCCCCATTCCTCTGGATATAATTGTTGCTTGTGATGTTGCTGAAATACACGATCCCATTTTTCTCCTTTTCCCTGATGTTTTCTCTTTCTTCATCCTTGTCACTTTCTTCTGTGTCACTTCTCATGTCCTTGTCCATCTACAGAGAAATGTAAATGAGAAGCAATACAGACATGGAAGTCTGCTGTGCTAGCTAAGCCACAGGCTAAACATTCATCTGCTGCTTTGGCCAGTTGCCTTTGGCACACAGTTCTACCATTTGGGACCACAGTCCTTTCAGCTTTTACATCACCTTTGGAAACAGATTCTCCCTGTCTCTTTGATTTCAGTCTCGGTGGAAACCTAGCTGTGATCCTGATAAACGCTGGGAATTACTGCACAGGTTGAGAAGCAGCACCAAACCACAGATGACCAGGACTGAGGACAACTATGTAAGACTGAGGAGATCCACACCACTGCTTTGGGAATCAGCATGGGGAAGATGGATGGGGGAGGCAGTTAATCAAGGTCTTTTACATGTTCTGAAAGGGACAAGGAGATAGCTTCTGCCCATGCTTGGCCTGGGTGGCTGCAGGTTAAGCACACTGCTTTGGACAGCGTGTGCTTTTGAACAAACCAACAGCTTCACACAAAGCCATCAGCTCTGATTATGTTCAGTTTTGTGTTCAGATTTTCCCCTCTTGCTATTGACCGAGAGATCTATAATCCACTTTTATAAATATTGAATTTATTGCCTTAAAAGGAAGACAAAGAAGAAGCAATGTGATAAAATTACAGTTTAGAAAAAGCAGGCTAGCACTTGCTGGCTTCCCAGGCTGTTTCTACTCTGCAATACAAGATGGCAAAATTGGGGACATATTAATGGTGTCACACTCCTTGCTGGAAAAAGTACTCTGAGGGAAAGCAGCAAACCCCTTCTGTGACCTGATCTTTGGAAACAGCTCAGGGGTGCGTCAGTCGCTGCATGGACACCTGTAGTCTCCATTTACTCTGCCTGTTCCTCTGGAGATATCTCTTGGATCATATTAAGAAGTCTCTTTGGTCTGATGCTCTTTCTAGAGATCACTACACCCACATGCAGACAGGATTTGTAAGAATCTAAACTTGCACTGAAGCCAATCTGCCTACAAGGACAATACGGGTAAGTGATCAACCCAGACCTCGTGTCATTCTGAAATGGGCAGTTTAGGAAATACGCAGGAGTCTTGATCTGCAGCATAAGGACAAATAGTAATTGATATTCCTAAATTTATAGATTCGTGGCCATAGAATGTGGTTGAGGCCTTGAACCTAGGAAGATTCACATTGGAAGCATACAGCTGCATGAATTACAGCAACGCATCTTGGGTTGCCTGTATGAGGGAATAAAACTCGTACTTCAGGATCCGGGCTGAGTTCCAGTTACTGGGGATTCAGGGACATCACGTGAGAAGGTGGTGCAGATAATCCTGCAGCCAGAGAGGAAAACTGTGGAGATTGCAAAGGCCCATGAGAAGAATGTGAACTTCTGAGTGGAGCGAGAAACTAATGGCTCCCAAAAAGGGGAAAATGTCCTGTACTCTTGCTGATACTGCTTTGGGCTACTGTTGAAATGGATCTGTTGAGGATGATTTTTCTTTGCTATTCACGGCTCAGTATGGAAAGCTCTCAAATATATTTTTGCATCAAATGTGACAGATGATTTTTAGATAAAATAGGAATAATTCTGGATATGCTTCAGTATTTTTCTTCCTGATGGTTCATGTCTTTCTAATGACAGCTATTACCTCATCATTTTACACTGTAATAACTGCAATGGTAATTCAGCCCACACTAGAATTAGGAAAACAGTAAAAGGGAGTCTTCAGTTGCATCTTCATTTTCTGCCCTGTGAATTTTCTGTTTCCTAATTTGCAAGTAATTTGCTCTGTGCTACCTTAAGAGAAGGCAGGTAAAGAAAATGAGGACAATATGGATGAAGATGAGCCTTTAATGCTTGTTCTCAGTTCCCATAAGACAGAATTCCCCAGTCGGATACCAATAAAACTACTCATCCTGGACTATGAGATCAACTCTCACAAGGCACTAACTTGCTGCTCCTGGACCGTGTCCTGGGCATGTGGCCAATCTAATGCCATTAGGTCATGCCTTTGATTTTTTGGGAAGAATTTCATGCTGAGCAGCAGTTTGGTCTCACAGCAAATAGTACAGGCTATGATCAGAAAGGGTGGGATGCATTTCACTGAAATTTACGCAGCTGCATCTCAGACATTCATCCAGGGTTGCTCTAGGACTGACAGAGATGAACAGCACCACCTGGGTGCAACCTTGAGTGGATTATGCTTTGGGGATGCCTGTTTACCTCTGCTGCTGTGAAAAGAGTCCAGATATCTAATTTAGACAGAAATATCTACTCTGTAGACATCTACAGCACTGTAAGACAATCCATAAGAAACGTGTATTAATGATCTGGCTGACAGGGCAGAGTGCACTAAGCAGGTTTGCTGAAGACACAACACTGGGAGGAATGTCTGGTACGCCAAAGGATCGTGCTGCCATCCAGAGGGACATGGGCAAGTTGGAGAACTGGGCTGGCAGGAACCTTGTAAAGTTAAGCAAGGGGAAGTGTGAAGTCCTGCACCTGGAGAGGAACGACCCCAGGCATCAGGACACGCTGGGGGCTGAGCAGATTTTCTAAGAAAAACCTGGAGGTCCTGGCAGACAACAAATTGAACACGAGCCAGTAATGTGTTCTTGCCCGCCCTGGACTGCGCTAGGAGGAATGCTGCCAGCAGGTCAAGGGAGGTGGTCCTTGCAGTCTGCTCAGCACTGGTGAGGCCACAGCTGGAGTGCTGGGTCCAGTCCAGGGCTCCCCAGTACAAGGGAGGCACGAACACACTGGAGAGTCTGAGGAAGAGCCATGAAGATGATGAAGAGACTGAAGCATCTCCCATGAAGAAAGGCCAGGCGAGCTGGGACTGTGCAGCCTGGAGAAGGGAAGGCTCAGGGGGATGTTATCAATGCACATTAATGCCTGGAGGGAAGGTGTAGAGAAGGCAGAGCCAGGCTCTTCTCAGGAGTGCCCACTGACATGACAAGAGGCAATGGGCACAAACTGAAACACAGGAGGCTCCCTCTGAACATCAGGAAATACTTTTTCACTGAGAGGGTGACCAAGCACTGGCACAGGGTGCCCAGAGAGGCTGTGGACCTGGAGATACTCAAAAGCTGTCTTGACATGGTCCCAGGCAACCTCCTCTAGGTGACCTTCCTTGAGCCAGGGAATATGGACAAGACTTACAGAGGTACCTTCCAACCGCAGCCATTCTGTGATTCTGTGATCTCAATCTTGTACTACAAGGGAGTACTTTTGCACTGGCCTCACCAATCATGACAACTTTACCTGCCTTAATTTCTTAGTTTTGTTACAAATGCAAATCATACTGGACCAAGTGTTGGGACCCTTACTCAGATGTCCCTGGGTTTGTTCATGGAAATCTCCCCTGAGTCCAGTCCACATTCTTCTTGAATACAAGCATCAGAAGTGGTCCCAATATTGTAGGGACTCACAAGAAATTTACTTTTTTTTGGGTCAACTTTCCCTGCTAATACTGAGGTGCTCCTTTCACCTCACTGTTAGGACTGTACATGTATAATTTCACTAGGGCAAGAAGGAATCCATCCTGGACGAACCCGTGTTCCCGAGCAGTCTATACAGACTCTCCCTCCCCATTTCATGTACGGGGGATTACAAACAGATTCATACCGTGCCCTGGCAGAAGAACTTGTAGACCATGTGAATAATTAGGCAGGACCAGAAGACATGGAGCAGCTGCAGAATTATCAGGAGAGCATTCACGAAGTAGTATCCAAAGAAGGGTTGGAATATCTCCATGGAGTAATAGTAGGTGTTATAGAGCACTCTGCAAAAGAGAGGGAATTGCAGTGGAAGGAAAGCGTGTTGTTAGTAGGGCTGTAATTAAGCCCCAGAAAGCTCTAGTCACAAAGGGAGTTTCAAGTCAGTCCCCTCCTTCTTATGTAAAACACGTGAGCCAACTCTCAGTTCCCCACCAGAAATAAGTAGGGTAGAGCCACAGGATGAGGACTCCTCCTCTGCAGGGTACTTCAGAACTTAAAGACTGCTGTATGAACTATGAGGTAGACCACCCTAGTTTACCCCAAGGCAGGTGCAACAGCCACACGGCACTGAAGCCTATGCAATAGGCTGGGACATATGCTCAAGAGTTGAAAAGCAAAGGCTGCAGCAAAAGAGTCAGCATCCAGCTGAATTATCACGTCTCTCAGAAGGCAGCTTTTCCATTTCCCTTGACTGCAGCAGACTTACGTGTAGGGGAAAACGACCAGGCGGCTGATGAGGAAAACAGCTGAGAAGATCATAAAGAGGCTGTCGCAAGTTTTTTTCCATTTCATGTAATTGAATATCTTAGTTGGCTGTAAGGAGAAAGAACAATAAAAGAGCAGGCCAAGACAGTGCATCTGCACATGCTCCAGGAAGCTAACGAGACAGATACGACACAATCTGCATGCAGGTAATCATGCTTCTTCCTGGCTCTCTGCAGGGCACCCTAGGCTGGGTCAGGAGGTGAGTACTAAGTTATCTGTCAAACACCGTAGCACTTGGCCCAGACTGTGCTAGATCAAAAGCCACCCTTTGGCTGAAGAGTACTATTCCTAACTAGGCTTTACTTAGCATGCAAGTTGTGGAGCTCACCTCTAGGAAGCAATCAGAAGCATCATGAATCACCATCACCAGTGTCCCAATACGGATGTAATTGGCACAGTATGAAAAACTGATCAGGAAGATGGTTGCAGCGTGATGAACTATCTGCTCCTTGAAGTCCTGATGACAAAGGGGACAGCAGAGAATAAAATTCATACCGCACCTCCTGCCCTAGTTCAAGCATGCCTCCTGCAGGTAGCAGTGAAATCTCTCTACCCAACGACTAAGAAACTTCCCTCTATAAGGTCTTATCCATATAACTTTTTTTACCAAACACACTCTAGAAATACAGGCAACCAAGAAAGCCAGGAGTGAAGAGCTTACAGTGTCAACTGGCGATTTCATAACAAAGAGCACACTCTCCCTCCACCAGTAATGGGCTGACGATGGTGCAAATCAGACAGAAGAGCCAACGCTTTAGTACAGATATTCAATGTAAAGAAAGCTTCCTTTCTGTCATGAAGCAGTGCCCATATCCATGCCTGGTCTGTGCTCCTGGGCATGCCTACCTTTTTGCACAATCATCTCATACACCCAAGCCTGCTCGTGGAGGCTCACAACCACCCTTTACTTATAGGGGTGTATTTGCAGCCTCAGTCCACGTGTACGCCTATGGAATCACGCAGCACCCTGGCTCTTGGGGCACTGGCACCTATGAACACATGCAGCCTAACCGGTAGAGAATCATCTCTTTTCCTGTCTTCTATGATCAGTGTAGCCTAGAAGAGTAATTTTTAAGTTTGGATTTTAAGTCTGGATTGAGAGCTCTGCAGTAGTTTGAACTTTTCTATGTCAGGGTTTGTGTTTTCCAGTTCCCAGAGGAGAGGGAAACCAGTGACTGGGAATGGAAATCCCTGAGAATGAGCATGGACAGAGTCCCTCAAAACCTCACACTATACACGTGCTCTTGGAGATCACTGTCCTGAGTGTTCAGCTTGGGTCCCGCCTGTTCTTGATTATTCCCTGAGGTTGTCACTCACCTTCCTCTTCACATCGAAGGGCAGGGTGAAGACCAGGGACCAGTAGAAGGAGAGCTCCAGCAGGTAGTACCAGAACAAGGAGGGCTGTAGAGGCTGTGAGAGAGGGAGAGAGTGAAATAACCATCAGATAAAGTACAGCAAGAGCTGGAAGTCAAGACCCCTTCCTAGGCTAAAGAATATCAGATAACCAAACCAGTAAAACTGGTTCTTCCAGCTTCAGGGGAAATACTTCAATTGAACAGCGCATTTACTTACTAAATGTCATCTGTGCTGAGGTGAAAGCAAATGGCAGGGGAAATTCCACTTTGTGGCATATTTAGAGAACCACCAAGAAGATCCTGAATATTTTTAGAATTTCTTCAGCACTGTGCAGATTCCTGAGCAGTCAGTATAGAGCTTTAAAAACTATGTAAACCATTTCACTATGGTGAAATAGGTACGTAGTAGCTGAGTAAATCATCCCCTTTTTAGACTCAAGGACATGCTCCAGACACCTTGTACTCTATCACAGATATTCCATTTAATCAAACTAATGGGGGAAAGTGCAATCCCAGTGTGAACAGTAACCTGCACTCTTCTGGCTAATTTTTCTGGGGGTTTACAGCTGGAAAACTAACATCTTAGGCCCACATAGCAATATCAGTGATATTTAACAAGTAATTTTTTGCTGTTGTGGCACTATATGGCCTCCTTAAACCTGAACCTGCTTGAGAAAAAAAAAAATACTGTAACAAAAGGGGCTTTGCAACCAGCATTTCCAAAGAATCTCAAATACCAATTTATCTGGGCTTTCTCTACCCAAAGTCTTGATTTATGGCCTTCATAGATTTTAGCTCGATTTCTTTTGTAGCACCAGTGCTCGGGCACAAGAGGAAGCACCAGTGCTACCAGAGGCGACATTAACACCTCCCGGGGGGGTATATGCTGTTCACACTCTGGAGGTTATCCAAACAGGAGCTCTGGATCAGAAGGGGTTTTATTTCCCCTAAGATAAGATTATTTGGGAGAACAGGAGTGTCTTCTGCCATTGTCTGGAGCACAGGCCATAGTTTGTTGAGTAGAAGCTGTAATACATTCTTTGTTCCCGCTAACAGACAGGTTTGTCCTTAACCTCTCTCGCTCTTGCCAGTGGGACATTGCCAGCTCTGGTTTTGGTCTTTTCTGTTTGTTACAGATGTTGGAAAGCGCATGTATTGGGTTTACATGGCAAGGTTTTGGCAAGGTTTTCCCTCTGCCCCAGTCCAGGATGGACCCGTTGCTGGGCACAGCTGAGCCCATCAGCGACGGAGGGGTAAAAGAAAGGGTAAAATCTGCTGTGCAACAGAAGCTGGGAGAGCGAAGTGAGAATATGTGAGGGAAACATCTCTGCAGACACCGAGGTCAGGTGCAGGAGGTGCTCCAAGCACCGGAGCAGAGATTCCCCTGCAGCCTGCGGTGCAGATGTGAGGCAGCTGTGCCCCTGCAGCCCGGGGAGCTCCACGGTGGAGCAGAGATCCATCTGCGGCTGTCGAGCACCCCACGCTCGAGCAGGTGGATGTGCCCAAAGAAGGCTGGTGACCCCATGGAGAGCAGGCTCCTGGCAGGACCTGTGGGGGACCCATGTTGGAGCAGTCTGTTCCTGAAGGACTGCACCCCGTGGAAAGGACACACGCTGGAGAGGTTTGTGGAGGACTGTCTCCTGGGGGTGGGATCCCACACTGGAGCAGCGGAAGGGTGTGAGGAGGAAGGAGTAGCAGAGACAACGTGTGATGAACTGACTGACTACAACCACCATTCTCCATCCCTCTGCCCCACTCGGGGGGAGGAGGCAGAGAAGTCAGGAGTGAAGCTGAGCCTGGGAAAAAGGGAGGGGTAGAGGGAAGGTGTTTTTACATTTTTTCTTATTTGTCATTATCCTACACTGATTTGATTGGCAATACATTAAATTAATTTCCCTAAGACAAGTCAGTTGTGCCCACAATGGTAATTGCTAAGTGACCTCCTTGTCCTTCTCTCAACCCACGAGCCTCTCCTATTTTCTCCCCTCTGTCCAGCTGAGGAGGTGGGAGGCAGAGAAGCTTGGTGGGCACACGGCAGCCAGCCAGGGTCAACCCACCCCAGTGTGCTGTTATGAAGGCTTGGATGGTTTTTGAAGACATACTCCAAAGGTACAGAACAGGACACAAGACCCAAGTGATCCTTTTAGTCTTACACTCCTATTCAAGCACCACCTGTTTGTATGGTTTGGCTTTTCCACTGAACTACAGATCTGCCCCTAAAATTTCTGCTTTTGCATGACAGTGGATTGTCTGGAGACTTGGCTTGACTCATTCAGAGTCTCAGAGACTCATCCTTCACACCCTTGTGCTGTTACAGTTCCTGTGGCTCACACTGTTAAAATTGTGCATTGCATTTCCCTTTATGGGTTTGCAACCTCCATGTACAGTCATGGGGTCTTGCTCGAACTTTGATTGCCAGACCAAAAAGCCCTGGAACTTAGGCAGGCTTCACTTTGTCTAGGTACTTGGATCAAGCTTCCTTCAGCCTCCTCTTAAATTAATAAAATATTTTATTTCCTACCCAGGAAATTCTAGTACTGTAAAATCCTGTGCATGGTAGCTCCCTGTATGATAATACAGAAGATTAATTACTACCCTGCTAGAAACACCAGATGCTTTCAGAGGACAGAGGAACCTCTTCCAAAGTTGGAATCAGATTTTTCATTTTGATGAAATTTAGCTCTCCTTACTACGTCTGCTCTGGCATACACAGCAGTGTGACACAGGAAGGCTCCTGCTCTAGAACAGGCAATAGTTGTCTTCTCTAGAGAATCTGGAGCACATGAAAACGTAAGGGGAAAGGCAGAGCAGGCAATAGCTCGTGTGCTCAGTGCGTGAAGCCCTGTTCTAACTCTTTAAACTTCTCAAGTTTTAGGAGTAGGAACAGCAAGGGAGGCAGCTGGGCAAAAACGTACCAGTCTTCTGGTTGCTATCTTCACTCCTTGTGTTTGTCCTGGGTTAAGCTGCGATAGAGTTCACTTTCTTCATAACAGCTAGCAAGAGGCTGTGTTTTAGATCTGTGCTCAGAAGAAAGCCGATAAGAAGCGATGCTTTGCGCTGCTGCCAAGGTTGGCAGACGAGGGAGGAAGCACAGCCAGTTGCTAGCCCAGGATTTGATCTTAGGTTCAAGACTGAAACTTAGAGTAGCCAATAATCTATTCCATAACATACACGTCATGCCCAGTATATAGGTGAGGACCCTCTGGAAGATCGTCCCTTTTTGTTCTGGGTCCCTTTGGTTTCCAGATCTCTCTTGGCTCCGGATCATCTCACTCCAGGTGGTCACTCTCCCAAGGCCTCCCCCCCCACGCCCCGGTCAGCTCTCGGTCTGGGATGCTGGGACTGTTATCTCCGTTCTGCGAGTGCCTCCGGGACCGGTGCACCCCCTGCCTGGGGGAATCGTGAGTGTGGTTTCGGGACTCTCCCTTCTCAGTATCGTTAGTCGGGAACAGGCTGAGCCTTTGGTTGTCGGGTGGGGGGGCAGTATCACTGTGTATCACTCATTTGTATATTTGTATATAGTATTATTTTCAATATTATTGTAGTTTAGTTATTAAATTGTCCTTATCTCAACCCACGAGTCCTTTTTTTCCCTTTACCCCTTTAACTCTCTCCCCTATCCTTGGCTGGAGGGGGGTAATTGTGTGAGTGGGTGTGTATGGTTTGGCCCCCACCCAAGGGCTAACCCATCACAGTGTTTATGAATAAGGAGCAGATTTTGTGCCTAGCTGGCAATTTTCATTGAGGTTATTCTGGTCTGGGCTGATAAGAGATGTACGTTTTCCGACCCACTGTTGTAAAAAAGCTTAGAATATACATTGAAAACTGTAAGAGAGCATCCTCTGACCTTAATGGGAATAATGCTGTACTGCTACTGGCTATACTGCTAGTTCCACTGGGAGACAAACTAATCGGGGAGCACTGTGGACATGATTCTTCAGTATAGCTGAAAGTACACAGCATCCGGAGCATGTCCTCGGCTCTGCATATTCTCCACTGAAGTCTTAACTTTTTCTCCTCAGGCAACATGTCTTTCTCTGGCCCCAGCTTCTTCTAAAAACTAAACAACATTGGAGCATTCCCATTTTTCAGTTTCTTGGCTCATGTGGTCAGAACTCTCACTTTCCTTTTACTTCTGCAGTCTCCTTCTGCTTTCCTGACTCATCCTCTACTGTATTTAGATTACACCAGATCTGGCTTTGAACTCTTAGGGCTCGTGAGTCTGAATTTAACTCAGTGCCCTCTCTTTTGTCACTAATACAACCTGATATTCAAAAGATATTGAAATACAATACACTATTTATAACAGCAATTTTCTCTCTTGCATGACTCACCTGTTGCGGATATCCTGTCCAGCACTCTCTATGGTCCCAAAGCCAAGGCTTCTGGAAAGAAAATGTAACTTGAATGTGAGAATGCCAGAGGAATTCTTCTTTTATCAACCATCTAACTCCTTTAGTTTGTTACTACTACTTTGTTGTGTTTTGTTACAGGCAGAGCTGCTCGCACTGTCTGGAATTCAGTTGCCAAAAGATTTCCATTACAAGAACTTGCAGCTGGTTGTGATATTGCCAATTTGTGGCTATTGCACTGAAATCTCACAAGCTGTTTAGCCCAGTTCCAAACAAAATAACTTAGGGAGGATTTCCACCAACTTGTTGCAGCCTTCTACAAGTTTGGGGGGGTGGTGGTGATGTTTTGAATGTATTAAAATATTCTTACAACCATTTCATTAAGAATCTCTGTGGTTTGGACAACACTTAAACATGGTAAGAAGGCTGAAAACTTGTGCATCAGGAATATAGTTTTTCCTCTAATGGTGAGGATCATGCTGCAGTCTGTTAAGTAATGAACCTCTGAGAGGAGCCTGCTTTGCTCACACTTCATATAAAATTGGTAGTTTAGAACTTGTCAGCTTAGAAACTTTCACAGAAACAATGCAACTAAACTCCCCAAAAGTTCTTCCTGCATGGAGCAGGCTCTGACCCTTCGCTGTGCCCAGATCTGATCAGAGCAAGCACGTCCTAGAGCACACAGTGAGGGAACATGTTCTGTGCCACACATGTAAGGGCCATTTTCTAGAACAGGTCTACAAGGCTCCACATACCAGAGCTGAGAGCAAGAAGGCAACATTTCTTATTCTCTCCTGGAGACCTGGTGGTGCATGGGCAACACGGAAGGAAAGCAGGAGCAGTGGGTTTTACAAGCAGTGGTAAAACTGCTTGTAAAAAAAGAGTGGGGTTGGGAGTAGGATTTACAGCAAACATGGGTACAGACCCAAGAGAGATGCGTCATACAGAATCAGAGACGACAAAGCAAAAACTCTGAAACAACTACAGCATATAATGTTATCTAAACTAGAAAGGAATCACAGATTCCTGGAATTTCATAATTCCTCTGCTCTCAGCAAATAAAGCTGTTTCCTGATGGTGCACTGCGAGATAACTTTCCATTTTTACCTGCTATTCCTCTGACTCATGGTCAGTCTAAAGCTACTGATAAAGAATTTAAACATTTGCTTTTTTTCTAGAGAAAGGCATTCAATAAAAGATACAAAATACTACTCAGATTACAAAGTAAACAGGCAAAAGTCAGGAAATGTCACATGCAAATATGTCCTGTTACATTAATTCTTTATCCTTCTTTTTAATGTGGTCATTTTGGTACAATTTTAGATAACAGAATAACGTGCTACTTGCTACAGGATCTAGAGGTGCTGTCTGTAGATCTGTACTGAATAAAGAAAAGACTTTCATGAAAAGTGAAGATGATCTTTCACTCCTAGAATGGTCAGATAACATGCAGAAGAACAGGATTTTGCACCTTCTGTTGCCACAAGGCTCTTGTACTACGCTAAGCAGGTCATTCATACCAAACTTACATAGCTGGCCTCAAACAGTGGTCTATTTTGATGTACAGATCCACAAAACCTTTGCTTGCTCATCCTGTAATCCTCATGCTCCTGGAGTACCTTAAACTCTGACTTGAAAGTCAGTGTAAATTCATAAGTTCTTCACTCATTACAATAGGGAGTAGTTACAAGCATAGTTTGCACGTGCTGTTTTGGGATTTGCAGGTTTTCCATTACTTAACCCCTCAGAAGGAGTCAGTGTAGGAGACTTTTGCAAAGCTCACTTAGAGAATTGGATTCAGCAAAAGAGCCAGGGGAACCTTTAAAAAACAGCCAGAGGATGACTGGTACCCTGTGTTCTGGCTTAATGAACACAGCTCAGGGATCAGAGCATACGCATGGCTGCTGTTACCTCTTCTGCCTGTTGAGGCAGTTCAATTTGTATCAAGAGAACTTATTATTTATCAAATTAGAGAAAAGGCAAAGGCATGAGCCTGAACCAATCACATCTTGGGTTAAGAAAACAAAATGAATCGATAAAACCATTAAATTGCAGTCCATACTCCAAAGGAAGACTGAGTTTTTCGCCTTCAACAGGTATTGGAAACAACCCACAAACAGGCCCTGCAACTTCCATCTCAGGCAAGTGTTCCTCCTCCTACCCCACAGAAATGTATTTTTACACAATCCCAGCTGTCTTCTGCTGTGCCAGAAGAAGAGCAAACCTCCTGGTTTTGAGTTGGAGTTTTTAAAATAAGCACAATCCCATATATTTGTAGTCTCACAAGTGTGCTCTGCAGATACACACTGGCTTGGTGGGGAAACCCCTCTGAGAAAGGCTGAAAGGATAGGTTTGACAACAAAATCTGTTGTTCTTGCAGGCACTGGCTGGGTGGAACAGCAGGGGGCACTGCTTGTGTACTCACATCGTACAGGACAGCAAGTCCAGTGAAGAAGGCAATGATGTAAAATGTAAACCTCCAGCTACAAACAAACAAAACAAAACACGTTAGAATCCCATTCATTAACCGCCACGCTGCAATTCTGTATATCAATCACGCTCATTCGAAGAACGGCACCATTAAGGCAAAGACATACATGAATATGTGCCAAGTTTGCCCAGTTCAGAACAGGAGCGGCTGTTACCAGCGTATTCGACAGGCTTCACAACGAGCAATTCTGCTTTAGAGACAGGGGGTGAGGCAGTGGCCCAGGGTGCCCAGAGAAGCTGTGGATGCCCCATCCCTGGAGGGGTTCAAGGCCAGGCTGGATGAGGCTTTGGGCAACCTGGGCTAGTGGGAGGTGTCCCTGCCCATGGCAGGGGGTGGCACTGGGTGGGCTTTAAGGTCCCTTCCCACCCAAAACCTTCTGGGATTCTATGATTCCACGGCAGAAAGTACAAGAATCCCACTGAGTAAATTCACCCAGATCATCATCCCAAACCTTCTCAGCACTAGCAGATGCATGGGTAAAAGTCAAACAATGTCAGTCTCTCTCCTAGGCTTTTGGAGATTAGGCATGCCAAATTAATTATCATGTAAAGTAATTAATTACTGTCATGTCTGATTCCAGTCAGGGGCTGGTAATGATTTACCCACATTAAACCCACACAGAAGGATGTATGAGCTGCTCAACAAGTTCAGTGGACAGAGGCACATCACACAGAATATACACACATATGGTAAGGAATGAGGGGAATTTCAACCCCAACAGCATCAACAAGTTGTTCATTAACTAAACACAGGAAATCTTCAAAGGAATAAAACTGTCTAAAGCAGTCCTTTAGTTTCCAAACATCTCCAGAACAAATCAGGAGTAACCACATTTTGAGAGAGACTCCACCTGTCAATGAAACCCCCAGAACTCCAAGACAGACACAAACTGTACAAAGCTACCCTGTCACATCAGAAAGACATTCTTTCTCCAGACTGCAAATGGTGATAGAGGGCTGGTGGAAGGACACCATCCCAGGTGAGCTGAGTCAGGAAAGTATTTGCTGTTTACTATTTACTGTTACTATTTACTGCAAGTCAGCTGAGCACAGGCGGAACTTCGATTTCATCTTGATGGAAGCAGACTAAGCATGGTTGCTTTACAACTACTCGTCCATAGATTTTGTAAATATTTCTAACTCCAACAATCCAGAATATTATAAATAAATAATACACATCCATTTTTTCTTTTTCAATTAGGGTTTTTAGGCAGGGGTTTTCAGCTACAGGTTGACTGCTAAATGGAGCATGAGGTGACGAGCTCAAAGTTGATACCTGCCCTATGGAAACATACTTTTAGACAGACAAATAGCACTGCAGGTATTTAATGATTTCTCTGTGGCTTTCCTCGAAGAACCTGCTTCCTTACACAAATAGCAGAGCAGACACTCATAAGTAAGGTATTTCGACCAAGCTCAGGAGAATCCTCCTTTTCTGTAGAAAGCTTAGCCAGGACCAACATCCACAGAACTGACACACGTGATGTTTATTTTGTGCCTCCATATAATAAGGAGGATTTCTACACAGCTGTTTCTAACAAGAGTTTTACTCTCTGGAAAACACAAGCTTCCACATAGGGCCCTTTTCTGCCACTGTAAAAGGGTGCTTGTTTTTGACTTTCCGAGATGGTGAAGTCAACTGACAGCAGAATACCATCTAGCCCACTGCCTGTGACTTTTATAAGCAACAGCATGCAGAACAGTTGCAGAAAAGATGCAGCAGAAGGAATCAGCTTGCAGTGAGGCAAAAGGAAGTGAGAGGAAAGGCACCAGAAAGGCTGACTAGTTTGCAGGCACCGAAACAGCAGCAAGAAGCAGTAAGATACAAAACAGTAGGGAGTTTTTCAGGTACAATTGCGTTTCAAAGCAGAATGCCAGCCTTACAAAGTCAGAAACAGAGGCCTTATAAGGAATAAAGATAAGACAGGAGTGAAAGGAGACTTGGGAATGGAAATGAAGGGGAAAAGCAAGGAATGTTTCAGTAACACATAAGCACCACATAGTTGCAGAAGAACCAGGCAGGGCAGGGAAGACCCAAGATGCTCTCTGCACAGGATGGGGAGCAGGCGGGGGGAAATGAACTGCCGCGGGGAGCTCAGCTCTAGTGAAAGACCCCTCCTGCTCATGGCTTGTGCTCCAGCTCACCAGGCCTCGCAAAACTTCTTCGACAGGCTCGGTCGGTCTGCATTCCTCCGGCGCCGGAACCATCTCTCCACCTTCCTCACCGTCAGGTCACACTGTTCGGCTAAACTGATCAGCTCACCCTGGAAAACAGGCGAGGCAGCAGGGTTCAGATCGGGTTCAAAGGGCAGAAGGAGCAATAGGGACATCTCCTCTGACCCACCACACAGCCCAGTTAGGGGCTCCTGGCAAGCTCACATCTGTTTGAGGTACGGCCTCTTTCAGAAAGCTGTCTGTTCCTAGTGTAAAGACCTCAGATAGTAGAAAATCTTTCCCTTCCCCCCTTAAGCAACTGGTTATTTATTCTAAATGTTGAAACGTTACATTTTTTTATGTGAACTTCTCCAGTTTCAACTTTCAAACTCCGGTCTTGCGACTGCACGAGAGTTTGTTGTCGAATCACTTCCTCAACCTGTGTTCAGGGACTCAGTCCCTTAAATCTGTCACTCCAGGAAAGATTTACCATAGCTTAAATAATTTTTAAAGTTCTGCACCAAATCTTGTCATGCGTTTCAGCATTCTGATGCAGTATCAACCAATAACCTGACTGACATCATGAGTAGAGGCAACACCATTTTTCTACTGGGTACTGTTGTGGTAAACCTGTTAGGGATAATTTTTCAATAGACTACCTACAGAAATACTACAATTACCTTTCTTCTTGTCCTTAGGCTCTTAAGAGTTTGGCATGTGACATGAAAAAAAAAAAAGTCATGTTTTATATTCCTTCTGGAAGCGTCATCATGGATAGCCTTATTTTTTAAGTAAGGCAACAGTTTTTCATAGAATGCATTTACGTTAATGGTATCACGTGAGAGTGACTTACACTGTACAAGCATGTTGTACAAATGTACATTCATCACCAATCTTCAGATGTGCTTCCTTCTACTCTTACTTAGTGACTTCTGTCTTGTGGTGGAGACAAATGGAGACACTGACTTATATTCTCCAATTGCTCCATAATGTGGAATTCCTCCCAAGAAGAAGGCTGCTGAGAACAGCAAAATCCCATCTTGTATGGGACAAGTAAAAGCTGACTCGTAAGCAGGTGTCTGAGAGCATGGGAGAAGGAGGAAACTAGAAGAGTGGGTGAGGTGTAACCGGTGAACGGAACAGAGCAAGGCAGCAGCCAGCTGCACCGTTCTTGCTCCCCGTCACGTTGCTGTCAGGAGTCTCACGGCGAGGATATGCTCAGGATCACAGATTCTCTGGGACAACAGTGTCAGCCTCAGTGCAGTGTGGGTGCAGGGAGAGCTGTGGGGAAAACCTGCTTGCAAAGCTGGGCCTTGAGTTAGATCTCTGCGACAGGAGCAGCTTTACTGAGAAATGTGCAGATTTTGCAGACGAGTCAGGCAAGAGGAAGGTCAGAGACCACCACACTAGCAAGGGCTGCTGAGAACACTCCTTACTGCTGCTGGGGAGAAAGGCTGGCTGCACAATGCAGATGAAAGCCTGTGTTTTCATTTCAGCCTCCATTATTTCACTTTTAACCTGGCACTGAACGTTCCGGGGCTCCACATACCCACTGCAACCATGAGGCAACAGCCCTCTCAAGGCAGTAACATGTTCGCCCTAGGACTAGCGCTTGGGACTGGAACCCCAGCCCCCTGCTCACACATCCTCGGTAAGGGTTAAGAGCTATTCCTTCAAGACCAAGAAAGCCTGCAAAAAGGAGCTGAAAGAAAATCTGATTCCTTTCCGTACCACAGGGGTGACATCCAGGGACTTCACTGACAAGGTTAAATTCTAATACTGCCCGACAATTCACAATCCTGCCAATGCTTTTTCCCCCAGCAGCAGCCACTATAACTCCGGATTAGCCTGTCAAGTTCTTCAAGATCACTCTTTCTATTTCTCATGGGAAAACTACACACCGTTTGTGTCTGCAGTTTTCTGACGCTCCTTACAATCCCTGTGACAAAGGCCAAGACTTCAGTTGGATTCCTGAATCTCAGTCTCAAACTCACGGATTGCACAGCAACAGAATGGAACTAGGAGGATCAAACAATCCACATCTGCCGAGATGCAAGGACTAGCAACATGGGAGTCAGTTCAAGGCCGCTGACGTGACAGGGATTTGCCAATAATGAAAAGAAGCCATCACAGAATCACAGAATGGCTGCGGTGGGAAGGGATCTCTGAAGGTCATCTGGTCCAACCCCCCTGCTCAAACAGAGCTACCTGGAGTTGGCTACCCAGGGCCACGACCAGATGGCTTTCAAGTGTCCCCAAGGATGGAGATTCCACAACCTCTCTGGGCAACCTGTTCCAGCACCTGGGCACCCTCACAGTGAGAAAGTGTTTCCTGATGTTCAGACAGAGCCTCCTGTGTTTCAGTTTGAGCCACATATAAGGCAAACACAAGAGGGAACAGGAATTGTCATTTTTTCCTTTGGGATAACACTTTCCTGTCCACAGGAATTTGGGATTTAAATTTTTTTGAATGCTACCTATAGAAAGCTGCTACTCCCACGTGTTCAGAAGGAGAACTGATAGCTGGTGGCATTTGCAGAATGACCCCTGTGGCTGGCTGGTGTCAGGTGGCCCATGCTATAGTGGTTCCTGCTGCTTTGTTGAGCTTCCAAATACGAGCAACACTACAAAACTTCAGGATTCCAAATGTGATTTCATTTGGCTAAAGATGCAAGGGCTGTCTAGAGAAAAGCAAAGGAAGAAAGGACTCACCTCATCAGGGTTCTTGCAGCGTGTGCTATAAAATGTTTCCAGGATGGGGATGGGCTGAGCTTTTGGTCTCTCCTTGTCTCTCACACCCAGCTTCCTACTGAGGGGCAGGGCTATGGCTCTGCAAAAGAAAAGAGAAAGGTTCAGCCAAAAATAGAACAGTGACTTTTGATATTGCCCACTGTTAAAACATGATGTCGTACTTAACAGTGGCCTCCCACATTTTGAATCTAAGCACAAGTATCACGTCAAGCAGATAAGATAGTGTCCTGGGTCCAGCTGGGAT